GGTAAGAAAATTTTATGGGGCGGAGTAGAAAAAAAAAAAAAAAAAAAAAAGCTTAGTCATTTAGTGGCGACCATTTTTTTGGTGGTGACCATTTTTGGGTGTCATCCCAGGCCAAAACGGCCGCTTCAAAACAAAACGTCAATTTCAATCATGGGCCCTTGAGACTTTTTTGTGCGGCCCGCTGTGATCAACATGTCCAACTAATTTCATGTTGACTGGCGAAAGCGGCTTTGGGCCCGAATTCTTCGAACTGTGGAGCAATGGAATTGGCCCCAAAATGGCTGCTTCCAAGCAAAATGGCCGACTTCCTGATATGATAGACCAATTGCACTTTCAATGTGGGCGTTTTAAAGGGATTGCGAGCCACCACTTCCAACACAAATCTCCCGGGGAAAGAGTGGCAAGATCTTTCCGCTATCGGGCAACGAGGCTGAAAAGTCAAAGTCTTGACGGTCAGGACGAGTCGCACGAGGCCTCCGCGTGCCCACTGAGCGGCACTCCTCTCCAGCGGCGTGGAACTAACTAAATTGGCAACCTTTACAAAAGAAGCGGAGCGATATGCCCCACGTAGGGAAAATCAATCCGGTTCTGCACTTGAAAGACACTTTGAAGATGAGGCGGGGGGTGTTTTTTTTTTTTTTTTTTTTTTTTCTCCTCCCCTCCGACCTGAACTGCGATCAATATTGGACCTGACTTGTTGGTCATGTAAACGATGGCCAGGATCACGAGGATGTAATTGATATGCATCGATTAAAAAAAAAAAAATACTACCTGATCATTTCTTGGTTGCTAACTTAGAATCGGTGCTCTTGATTTTTTTTTCAGTCGCACTCAACATGAGTTGATTTTTGATTGATGAATCTGTATAGATTTTTGTGACTGATGATGATTTGTTGGCAAAAGACTTTTGAAACACCACTCTGTTTCATACTAATGATTTGTTTATTGATTGATGCATTATTGCATTTTTAATACATTGATAGCAATGACAATTTTTTTTCCCGATTGATTGAGATCACCGCCGTTGTTCGCTTTCCGACTCGTCGGGGCTGAATCCCGAGACTCGTCCGCCTTCGATTTGGCGAAACGAAACGCCGGCTCACCAGCCGTCGAGCCATCAAATACAAGAAAACGGCGGCGCCGCAACTCTCGGCATTCTGGGGAAGCACTTTGGTTTAGTCTGTTTCGCTGTTTTTATTTTTCTGTTTTTTTTTATTGCGCCTGCAGCCCCGCCACTAAAGTTAACAACGTGAGGGCCGGAGTACACGAGACGGGGCGGCGGACGAGCACATCGGGGAGCTTTTTACTGCTTTGCCCGCATTGATGTATCTGCCCACGGTTTATGAACTATTGATTTTATTTAAGGGAATCAAATCAGGAGGACGCGCTGAGAAGGGGCCTCGCATGGCGGCTTTTATGCTCATGCGCCGCGGCCGCCGCCTAACCGGATCAACTCGGCCCAAATTGACTTCCCCGGCCAGACGGGAGACGGATTTTATGGCCGCGGCTCTCAAACTGGGGTGCGCGGACCCGCTGGGGTCCGGCAGCTGTCGTTTGGGGGTCCGGAAAAAAACGATTGATACTGGATGGGGGACAGGCACGGCAACCAAATACATTTACTCTTTGTTTGTTTAAGTCTTTGCACTTGATTGTCAAGATTGTCATTTTTCTTGAAAAATGCAACTTTATAATGTAAAGATTCTGACTTTTTTTTCCTTTTTTTTTTTGGGTGAAAAAATGGAGCTTCCTGATCACAAGACAAAATAAATTGCTGTTTTTACTTGCTTTAAGATTTAAGGTTTCTTTCCCAGACAGAGTAAGTAGTTGCTCCAAAAAGATTAGTTTTATTTTTTATAAGATAAGATATCCTTTATTTGTCCCACAATGGGGAAATTTACAATTTTATCCAAATTTATCCTGACATAATTGATATTGATTGTTGTAAAGACTGTGAAGTCTCAAAATTTGACTTTATTCCTGCGCTATGATGACCCGCCCTCGCCCGCACCGCCACCCAGACACAATATCTTTTTTTTTTCCAGAAAATTTAACTGAATTTTTTAAAAAACCGGCAACTTGCATGTCATTTAGGTGAACACAATAGTTGCGTTGAACCGAAATGTATTTTGGATGTCGACGACGAAGCAAATTGGCTCGTTTGCGTTGCAATACCTTGACGATGTCTTCGTTGGCCGACTTGCACTGCACGAAGGCGGAGACGTCGGTGACGGCGCCGTTCATCTCAATGGACACCATCTTGACGGGGATGGCCACGGTGCGACCGGTCAGGACGGCCGTGTTGATGATCTCCGTGTCCTGTGGGGTTAAGGAGACCAGAGTGAGGAACTCCTCGAGGAGCCAGCGAGTCGAGTCCATTAAATAAACCAGGAAGCAAAGTAGTAAACAAACGCTTTGTCAACACACTCTTATGTTAATCGGGCTGGCGGCGGTGACCGATCGATGAATAAGGTCACAGCGCGCCGCTCTCCCCCGTGCGACCAGTCGATAATCTTCTCTGTTGTCGCTTCCGCAACATTCCCCGATGAAGGTGCGCGTCTTACGTAATTGGCAAGTTTAGGGGGGCTAAAAAATAAGAGGTGACATCTCCGGAAGAACTCATTAGCGGCAAAAGTATGCAAACGAGGTAAACACAGACGGGATGATAAACAGACACCAATAAAAAGATGACAGCCGCCAGCCCGCTCTTTGCCAGTCGAGTTGTTACGCAACAACAAAATCATAAAAGTTGATTTATGCAGAGAAAGGCCAAGAAGTGACTCAAACGTTGACGAGCACAGCATTTGGGAGCGACCAAAAAAAAAAAAAAAAAGGGGAATATTATGAAGAAATTGATCCAAATGGTAAGAAAGTGCGGCAAACTGAGTGGGGGGGAAAAAAATGAGACGATGAAGCTTCCAGCGATGATCGCTGACCAATTGGACGGCCGGACGACCGAGCCCGACTCCCACAGAAACACGAGCTACGTGCCAAGCTACCTGCCAGTGTCGTTTTGGCAGCCATTTTAGATTTAGACTCAGTCTTTTGGGCAAAAATGCCTATTAGATGTCTTGCAATTTGAACGTCTGACAGACCGCACGCTAACAATTCCGTCCAGTCGCGTCCCGTCAAGAAAAACTCCACCCAGCGCCCGAGCAAAAGACACAGCTAATGTACCTAATGAAGCGTCGTCGTCAACATTCAAACAAAAGCGGCGCACCCCCTGCAGCACGGCAGGAAGAAGAGGGGCACGCAGCCGAGGAAAACAACAACGGCGGGCTTGCGAGTAAAAGTCACGGCGGCGTGGAGTGTAAAATTTGGCACGCGCGTCGGCGTACAAGACGCATGCTAATTCTCCAAATGTCAAGGGGGCCCACTGACTGGCGGGTATGCGGCGAGCGCCGTATGTTTGCAGCAGATGTGCAACTCCAAGTGGAGAATGCGTAATGGGGCTCGCGGCACTTGGAAGCAAGCAAACGGGTACAAAAAAAAAAAAAAAAAAGCGTGACTCGCAAGCTTTGTTTGGGTACACGTACACGTAAATACTAAATAAAATGAATGACATGCTGATGAAGGGATTCGTGTTTCCCACTGCTATCATGGCAATGATTATGACTGCTAAATATGCTGATAAAAATAATGCTAGGAATAATAATTGTGATTAGTTTGATAACAATAAAAGGGTACTGCGAGTGGCGAAACCATCCCGAGTTCTGCACAAAATGTTCATCGAAAATTGACCTCTGTTTACATGCTAATTTCGCTACACCAAACGGTCTCGGCATCAACGAGCAGATGGCGCGACGGAATGTTGTGCTTCTTTTTCACCTTCAGTGGCAACACGCATAACGTAAAATGAAGAGTACTTTGTCATCCTCATTTCACTTCATGGGGGGGAAACATGACATCGATTTACGAGCGCTTCAGGTTACAGAGGGGCTCGCGGAGCCAATTAAGTTTGCCCCTTGAGGTTGCGCCGGAGTGGCATATTGGATGGATGGATATGTTGATATATTTGATTATTCTCTGACAACTATAAAATGCAATTTTGCCAGCTAGATCGTATCTCGCTCTCTTCTCCATCCGTTAAGGTACCAAGTGAGCAACCGAGCTAGCTCGGATCTCGCTACACAACCAGCTGTCTGTCTGCAGCGCTAGCTAGCCACATTATTAGCATCTTACCATCTATCTTGGTACCTCGCGAGCTAGGTAGTGTCTACCTAGCTATGTAACGAGCTGCCCGTCTTGTCTCTTGAGCTAGCTTGCTAATTGAATAGCCTCTAGCTGTCTATCGATGACGTGCGTCGAACTGACCATGGCAAGGGGCAGGATGGCCTGGATGTCCCGCTGAACCACGGTGAGCTCGGTGACCACCTTCTCGGACTCGGGCGGGGGGCTCTGACCGTTGTAGTCGATGTTCCAGTTGATGCGGCGCGTCACCGACAGGCTGGTGAAGTTCTCCATCTCAAAGTCGAGCTGCATCACTTCGGCGTTGCCCGCCACCTCCCTGAAAACAGGCAAAAGTACGGCGGGATGAGATCTGATTACATAACCGTGAAGGTGGTCTTCAGGGTGCCGAGTATTTTTTATTTTTTTTAACGTGATATTTGGCGTGAAAAAGTTGAAGGAGCATCGTCATAGCGGAATGGCAAAAAGACGCCCCAACATCCCCTTCCATAAAAACAAAAAGACAAAGTGCCATGTTTTTTAGCGAGCACAAATGGAGATTGGCACATTGTAAATGTCACGCCGGGCGGTTTTGTCTGGCGTATCAAACGTCCAGGAATTATTCAGAAGGCCCCCCCCGCGCCCCTCGCACCGATGAAAACAGTTCTCGTCAATAAACAATCACTGCGCCTTAATCTAGAGGCTGGCGGAGACTGCAAATTCAAGTTGGGGCCTCTCACTTGCAAATAATTGCCAGGGTTCGCCCATTTTCTCCTCAGCGATCGATGGCGCAGCCCCCTCTCCCCTTCGCCCTTGGACTGTATACAGCACAAGGCGATTTCAAATGGACTTTTGTCAGAAAACAACAACAACAACAAAAAAAAAAACCCTGTCAAATAATGGCCGAGGCGGACGTTTAAGTGGAGGCTGTCACTGCCTACCGTTCAGCGTGACGGTCCTCTAATGAAAACGTCAACCATCATGCTGAAGACGCATCGGCGAAAAGAGCCACGGGAACCGCGAGGTTGTGGATTCCAAACGCCACACAAAAAGTTGTCTTCCCGGCCCGCTGTAATTACCCACAATTGACATTTTGGCGCCGTTGATGAGATTGGATTCAGATTTGCGCGGGGGGGATGTGTCACCGCAGGTGTTTTTTTTTTTTTTTTTAAACACAAATCACGATGACAAAGTCTTCCAGATTACAGGGTGACCTTTTCGGCGGAATGTTCGCTCATGGCGTCGCTAATTCATGTCACTATGGTGAAGTCGCATCATCGTGTCGTGACTGAAGAAGCGCGATATGACATCGGTTATGAGCCACTCGTCCCACTTCTGACATCGGCGAGTCACTGTGGCTGCAACAATTTGACCCGGGGGGTGGTCTATTGCGATGAAACACCTGGAGGTCCGTAACCCGCATTTGATCCACGTTGCAAAAGGTACACGCACACACAAACCACCGCCACGGTAAAGCTTTTTGGTACGGGAGAACTTTGCATCTCGCTTCCGACACCAATTTGCATTTCTGAGTTCGAATGCCCTCAAAAACGACTTTGAACCCACCCCTAAACTTTTCCCAAGATACGTTTCGAAAGGTGCTATTATTTATTTATTTAATGTCAAATCCAAGGGAAAAAAAATACGAATAAAAATAACACTGAATAATTCAGCCGTCCCCCCCACTCCACCCCCCAAAAAAGAAGCGACGACCTTGTTGGCTGTTTTTCTTTGCTTCCTCCTCATCCCGGCGTTATTAATATGGAACAGCCATTGACCACCATCAATAATGTATCGGCCCACACGCGTCAACTGTGAGGAAGTGCTACGGCGGAAAGAAGAGCGGTTGGGGGTGGGGGGGTGGTGGGGGAATCTAAGGGGTCACGAAAGACAAATGAACCGCGGGTGTGACGTGATGGAAGAGAACGCGTCGGGCAAAAAATAGAATAATGAAGTGAGAAAGAGCTCAAGCGACGAGCGACCTCTTCGTCAATCGGCCGTGAGATGCGCCGGCTCCTTTGCGGGTTACGCGGAGGACAAAACGCCCAAAACATATTCAAGTCGCCTCAGCGATAACTCCCAACGCATGACTGGAATTTAAGAGGGTACACGGAGGTGGGAGTGTCCATCCGCGTATTCCGCTGTAACACCTCCAGTTTTACTCGTAAAGTCTAGCCGGGCGTGAAAGGGAGGGACGGACCGCACACGGCGAAGAACTCACAAGGATACAATGTTCTTTACAAGACGATATCATTTCAAAAAAAAAAAAAAAGAGAGAGAGAGAAACGGATTTGTTGGTACGCGCTCACTGAAGCATGAAACTGTTATTCGCTGTAATGTGCAGGCTTTGCTAGTCCAGGAAAAAGTTCACCGACAAAAACAAAACAAGTCATGCTAACCGCTACATGTTGTAGCAGTGCCGCAATATCGCCGATTCTTTTCGAATTGATGATTTTGTCAACTTTTGTGGTTCGGCAAGCGATTGCGCCGCGACGAAAGGGAAAAGGCAGCAAAAAGATCAAAGACGATCATGATATTTGGCGACCAGGATTCCACGGCAACGGAAAATGTCTTTTGAGGCGAGGCCAGCGCAATCTCGCCTTTGATGTTCTTTTACAACCAATGAATTTGTCAGCGTTTGTTCTTGAGCAAGCGATTGTGCTGCTTTTAAAAGAGAAAATTCAGCAAAAGATCAAGGACAACAATGATGTCGGTTGACTGGAAATCGCAGCAACTCCCCCAAACAGATCTGTAGTGCCTTTGACGTCCTTTCTGTTTTTGCAAGCCATTCTTTGCCGAAGGACACTCCTAATAATCATCAAGGCCAAATTCAGCAAAAAAACATCAAAGACAACGATGAGAAGTAGGCACTGGAATTCTCTCCGACGTGCTTCGGATGCGTTTTGAGACGTTGCCAGACCGTCTGGCCTTTGATGTCCTCTCGGCAACAGTGGATTTTTCACCAAGCGTCGGCTCGACTATTAATCGTGCCAAAAATTTGCCAAAACATCAAAGACAACAAGAACATCGAATGACTGGAATTCTCTCTCGCACCTGCTGAGAAAGCGGTTTGAGATTTTGCTACCGCACTTCATCTTGTTCTTCTTCTTTCGGGAGTGATTGTGCTGCTATTCGCTGTGGTGAAAAACTAAATTCAGGCAACAATCAAAGACAGTCATTGAATCTTGCGACTCCAACAATCTTGTTGGGTGTTTCGAGTCAATGCCCGTTGTGCTCTTGAGCCTTGCCCAGCTTTTGCTTTATGCTGAAGTGACAATGCTCCATTTCATCTCAAAGCAAAACATCAAAGGTGGGCTCAATTTATTTCATGCCAGACGTTTTTCTCAAATTGAGAGAGCCATTTTTGACCATTTGAGAAATTTTCAAAAGCCGACAGAAAATGGGAGTTCTGTACCCATTATAAGCCAAAAGAAAGCTTCAGCCCTCTTCTTTCATCAGGAAAAAAAAATCATTTCCAACTTTGACCGTTTCTTTAGTAAACAACAGTTGAACATTGGTCACTTTCTGGAAGATACTCGTATCGAAAAAAATTCTGAGAAAAGGAGCTTTTTGTGAAAGGATCCATTTTCATGCAGAACTTTCACTTTGATGCCTATTTTTTTTTTTTTTTTTGCATTTGTGGTACCTCAAATTTCTAAACAATGCTTTCCAATTCAATAAGAAAATCAACAGTTTATTGGAAGAAAAACACTGCACTGATGCATGTTCTCAACGCCACACTGCTTTCGCACGCTTTCACACTGAAAGCATTCCCACAGCCTTACTGGCGAGCTGCACAAAGCCTTTAATTAATTTATTTAAAAAAACACACACTAAAAACGTATTTTTAACAAACAATTGGGTCTTTGCAAACGTATTTTTACGTCATTGAACGAATTGATGGCAGGCCATCGACCTTTGATGTCCAACCAAGTAATTTTTGGTGCTGCTGGTAATCACGTCAAAATCCAGCAAAAGAGCAAAGGCGCCAAGGAAATGCAGTCACGTTTAGGTCTGTCCATTACGCATGTTAAAAAAACCCACAAAAAAACAAGCAATGTAACCTTTGGGCTACATGCAAACATTTTAGTCCGTATTTCGAAATGGATTTGCGCGCAGACAAGAATTCATTCCCGGCGGGAACGGCTGCCGTCATGAAAGTTTGACGAGAACACGGCGGTATCGGCATCGCCGGGCTGCGCAACAAATAATAACAGCAACAAGCGTCCTTCTCGTCAGCTTGTCTCTGCAAATGTTGGGCGTCAAAAGCAGGTGTCGCGGCACCTTCGCGCCTTGTCGTCGAAATAATGCATGAGGCGAGTTCTCCCCCAGAAGCCGCTGACATAATTAGTGCTCCCTGACAAGCGCTCGCGTCGGGAGCCTTTGCCGCGTTGTCACTCGCGCAACTCAACTCCAGAATCGAGAGAGTGACAGAGAAAGGACAAACAGCAACAAAAAAAAAACAAACAAAAAAAAAAAACACCTGAGTGCAGCATGCGTTGAAAGGTTAGATTGATTTCAGCTTTTTTTTGCACTGAAAAAAGAAGGAAAAATCAAAGCTCCATTCTTCAAATCGCTCTTCGCATTTCAAAATAAGGAGAAAATGTTTTTTTGGGTGAGCGTAACAAGAAAGGTTTGTAAGGTCGCATTTTTGGGGGAAACGATCTCTTATTTTCGTAAAATGAAGACTTTGTTCTCGTGAGGTGACTTAGTTCGGAAGCGATGATATAACGTTTTTGAGTCGTCCTTTTGGAGGATGACGTCGTAATATTGCGGGAAAAATATTATTTGCCACATGATGGGATGCGATATGGACTCACCCTTGCTTGAGCGCTTTGTTCTTGTTCACGTCGATGGTGGTGATGGAATGCTTGGCGCCGGATAGAACCTCCCAGTCCACCTTCCATTGGGCATTCTTGGACGTGGTCTGGATCAGGTTCACTCCTTTTTTAGCTTTCACCCTGCGGGGGTTGAGAGGCGGGAAAAAAAAAAAATCTCTGTATTATTTTTCCAGGAAATTATTTATGTGTTGGGCCGGAGGTCGGCGCACGGTCCCTCGCGCGACCGCCTGCCTCGGCGTCACGGCCAAAGCGATTGGGTGGACGGATCAATAAGTGAGATGAATGAAGACGGCGGCGGGAGACAAACACGAGCCCGCGACCGCTCTCGGGTCAGAGTGCATCGTCGCCGCCGCCGCCGCCTTTGTGCGAGATTAAATGGAGGCCGGCTCGCCGCCGCGCAGCGCTTCAGAAGGCGTTAGCAAGAGTCGCGGGAGATAACCACAGATAAACATTTCAATCTCGCAGCGACTTAAATCATCGTAATCCTCATTTGTGTCCCGTCGGCCGCAGGCGTCCGTCACAGGTTGCAGCCATTAGAACATTGTTTCTTGTTGTTGCGGCGCTCATTAGAGACGCCGCACGCCAATTAGGTGAAACGGAAATATGGAAGGCTTCACAAATGGTGTCGCGTTTGATGTCGTCTTAGAAAAACAAAAAAACTCAAGTGAGGGAAGAGAGGCGAAACAAGGTGACCCAGTTGCTGCTCGATGAGTCAAGGCAAACACTTTGGGTAGCAGACGCTAATTAGGCTTGATGGCGGCGACACCTTCCCCTACGACGACGACCAACAACCCCGTTGGCTCGCCGCCGCTTTTCTTCACCTGTCCCGAGCGCAGCTTATTCACCACCTCGTATACCTTGGATTTGTTTTGGGTTTTTTTAAATAAATTTTTAATCAGATGGGGCATCGGTTTCGCGAAACGACGGGACGTGCGAGACCTCAACCCCCCGCCGAAGCGCGCTAACGCTGATTAACGAGACGGGCTTCCGACTGATGTTGAACATGAAGCAGCTGCGATGTGGACGCCCGGGAAAACGAGGCTGGACGCATTTGCATCGGCGATGGTTTGGAGGGCGGAGCCAAACGATCATTCGGGCAGACAAGACCGCGGCGATATCATTGACACGTATTTTAGTGTCTTACTTGAAAAATACATCCGATGGTTTTCCTAAACTTTAAAACAACTCACTTATTACAAAAATGTATTTGTTCACCTGTTTTTGGTTTCGTTTGCCGATTTATTTATTTATTTTATTTTGATGCCGTCAACGTGTTGCGGGTGCCGTTTGGGTTGTCACCGGAGGCCGTTTTTGTTGCGATTCCATTTTAGGGCCCCGCCGCACCCTCTCGACTGTCGGGTGCTCGTCTTTCACGGGCGCTCGGTAATCAAAAGATCCAGCACGACGACGGCCGCGGATGCTTTTCCCGTTCGAGTCTCTCTCAAGGGGAGAAATGCGAGCCGCTCCAACATGAAGTCATCTTTGAAAAGGCCCCGCCACCAACACGGACGCTCTTTCACCAACAGTCGACACGTGTGGCCGCTCCGCAGCGTTGTGCAATCACGTCCGGCTAGCGGGTCGTTCAAGCACTCGAAACGATTCTCACTCGGTCGTTCCTCCAAGTCCATCGTCTCCGGTTAACTCCGGCATGCGGCCGCCGGCAATCGCAGTGTCGTGCGCGTCCACTTGCTGCCAAAGGAGTGCAGTACTTAAAATTCCAAGCACTTTATCCACAGGCTGAGCACAGCCATTAAATGGGGGGGCCTTCTCCAAGAAGTCAAGCACCTTCGGGACGCCCGCCGATCGTTCTCCCGGCCGCAATAATCACTCACACAAGTTCTACCTCAAGACGCGGGGAAATAAAAGTTTCCTTCCAAGAGGCCCGGTGGGGGGTGCGTCGGGGGGAGGCGATCATGAGTGCAGACAATTCCCCGCAGGTAAAAAGTGCACTTTTTTTTGGGGAGGGATACTTTCACCAAGTGTGTAATTTACTCCATGACACTTGTCAAATGGAGGCGGATGAATTCCATCACAGCGGGGAAGGCCCGGTAGTTCTGGAATTGTGCTTTTTTTGTAGTTGTTGTTTTTTGTTGGGGATGGGGGGGGGGGATACATTTTAAGGTAAAAAAACAGGAACAATCTTCCACAATGAAGGCTGAATATTTCAAAGAGCAACGTCACAATTTTTTTTTCGAAAAGTATTGGATTTTTTTTTCTTTTTGAGCTTTTTTTTTTCAACAACTGAAAATGTCATACACATAAAAAACAAACAAAAAAAACTCTTGTATTATTCAAAGAAAGAAAATCATTCCATGCCAAGACAGACGCAAAATGTGTCAAAATACCAATTTGAAATAAAATCCGTATTGGGAGTTTTTGTTGTTTGATAGAATTCATGTTCTTCTTTTGAGAAACACAAAAATAGTGTGACAGACTTTTTTTTTTTAATTGACCAAAAAAGTGACATTTAAAAAAACAAAAGCTTAATAAACTTGAGAAAGAGTGAAATTGACTTATAATAATCATAATAATAATCATATCCGGCTGATCTGAAAGATGAGATATGATTATTAAAAAAACAAAAAACTACTACTTGATTTTTAAAAAGAACACATCAAATAAAGTTGGATTCTTTTGATGAGGAAAAAAAAAAAAGGATACGGTTCGACACAGTCGGCATCCCGCCTGTTACGGTTCTGATCCCACCTCCGACGGTGATAAATTGACTATTACGGGCACATCGCATCTATTTTCTCTTTGTTTTGTTTTGTTCGTTTGCTTTTCTTTTTTTAAGCAAAAGAAGCATTCTCCCGGAGGGGAAGAAGTTCCTGCTGTGCGGAGCGGACGGCAAACCGAGTGTCACATCCGCGGGAGGAAGACGAAATGTCGCCAATTCATCTTGGAGGCCGCTGGTGGAAATTGCGGTTAACAATAGCCGCCGCCCCTTCGGGACTACAGGGAGGGAGTAATTACGCCGCAGTCGTTAGCAAAGGTCGCAGTCGATGAGCCGGGATGCTTTTTCATGAGTGTGATGAGGAGGAGGATGAAGGGGATGATGATGAAGAGTTCACCTGCCCGCCCCTGAGCCGCATTATGAAAACTGCTGCCCTGCGCATTGGCAAAGGCATTTTCCTCCCCCAAGAAAATAAAGAAATATGTAGTTTTTAGACGACGGTCAGAATTTATGAAGAATAAAATCACAATTTTCCAAATAGAATTATTTGTTTTAATTTTAAAAAATTACAGCAATAAAGTCGTATTTGGGAGAAAAAAAAGTTGTCCTTTTTGTCAAGAAAAAAGTCAAACCTGCCTGAAAGAAAAATTGAGAGTGCCTGTTGCTTTCTTTAGCCAAGCGTCGACTCTCGGCAACATTTTGACTGTGGTTGACGTCAGCGGAGTCGTAATGATCCACAGCGGAGTAAAGCAATCAGCGTTTATTTGTCAAAGCACATAAAAGCGCTCGGTCCCGAGCGGCCCGTTTCAAAAGTAAAACAAATGACATGTCGCCGCGCACGGAAAAGCTTGCAGACAAATAAGAACGTGCACTTAGTTTGAATTATAAATATCCTGCCGGGATGAAATTTGTCGTGCTGGCAGTGGCGCAAAGTGTCCCGCCAAGGGAACTAATGGAGCTTCTTCTTCGGGCGGGCGGGATGCGGAGACGAGCGGGGTGGGAGTAACTTTAGCGTCCAGTTTTAGCCCTTGTTTTGCCAAGTTGCGCTAATGCAAAGAGTGCTTCTTGGCCATTTAAGTGCTGACATCTTGCTTGTTTGTTTACTTTCGTGTCAACATCCATCAGGGACGGCCGCGCTTGCAAAAGTTTGGCATACGGCGGCCTGGTCGGAGGCGACTTTTTCTCTCTAAAAATAAAACATTCATCTTAAGATTGAGATCTGTATATCTAAAAATGTATGTGTGTGTATATATATATATATATATGCGCACGCACACACAAGTGTTTGATATCACTTTTTTTTAGACCGATACGAGTACTAGCATTCACTCGAGTACTCACCGATACCAAGAACAGATACCCGTAGTAGTTTTGACAACATTACAAGACCTCTCTTTCTGATGCAGACGATGAGTGGCCGATGAGCCAAACTGCGGCAGTATAGCGCCACCTGCTGCCGAGGAAGACGTATTGATGTCAGATTTATTGATGTCTTTATTTTTGCATCAAGTATCGCTGGCCGGGATCGGCATATCTTAAAATAAGGCTGCTCCCGGTCCGATAGCGATACCGACAAACGGTTCACGCTCATTCCTACATTTATGAATCACTTTTCAAAAAAAGGTTTTCAATCTGACAAGAATAAAGTATTTTTTTCAAGAATTTTTGTTTCTTCCCCGAACGTGGAAATTGCCTTGTTTATTCGTCCTATTGCTGAGCAAGTGCCCTGAAACAGCCCGTGAAGGCAGTTTGTGTGCATCCGCCCGGCGAGTGTAAATAAAACAAACGAGACCTAAGCCATGTGTTAGGGATTTGGCTATAGTTAGCCTAGCATTTAGCTCAAACTCGCACGGAAAGCCGGCGAATCTCGCCGGCAATTAAGTAAGCCGCTCGGCCGGATTAGCACACCTTCAGCGCAGTCATCCCGTTGCATCATGGAGATTTTAATTGTTTCATACGATTAGCAACATCCCGCCCTTCGACCGAGTCGTGCGTTCCGTGCGGAAGGCTGGCTCTCAGAAGGCAATTATGGTTCCGAGCGGTAAGACTCTCGGGGCGAGCCACAATCAGAGAAGTCGCGGGCGTCCAATTTATTTGATGAGGCCGGTCGGGCTCAGACGTGCAGAAGTGGGGAGGAGGACGGGGGCGGGGAGAAAAAAAAAAAAAACAAGCGGGCTCACTGCAGCCTTGACGCGGACTTCTGTTGTAAGAACACGAATAATCCGTGCAGGGTCCAGCGGACAGCGGTCGGCTTTCAATCCGGCGCACTGACTCACGCTTCACAGCTACGTTGACGTTACAATTGGGGCGCTCGGTCGAGTGTGACCTGACGGCAATCGTTACGCCGCCATGGACTACACTTGGAAATACGGATTGTGGAATACACTCAAAGGTGCACCTTGGGAAAGAAAAACTGCAAAAAAATAAAAATAAAAATTCCCTCAGT